AGACGACACCCATTTAACAAAACTGAAATACAGAAAAGCTTCTCTAGTCTTCCTTTCATTTATTCAACAGACAGTAACTGACTACCTGCTGTGTGCCAGGCAGAAAGTATTCAGTGAGAAACAGGCACCTACTCTATTCTGACCTATCTATCAGTTTCCCTAGTTCCCTTCCCCACCAAAGGCCGTCCGCGAATATTTCTTTCGTTTCCTTTCCGAGATAGTCTATGCATATGTAAGAATATATTTGCATTTATATCTCTCCCACCCCCGTTTTTTAAATGCAAGTGATGGTATGCTATACATTTTTCGTCTTGGAAAATAAATAGTCCATATCAGTCTAACTCTTTCTTCTTTTTTTCACTGCTGTATAGTATTCCAGTGTTTGGTTAAATGATCATTTTATAAACCTTAGTGAGCAACAGTTACATAGTTCCCCAGAACTTGGTTGGGTTGGTTTTCCTTCTTCCTTTTGCCCTCTTTCTTATGCCTTTCATTTCCTCTGGAATGTTGATTTCTTTCCCTATCATTTCATCCCTAATGCCCCTGAGAAATGGGTCTCAGTCGCCCCTGTCCTGTAGGCCCCTATCCTTGTGTGTACTTCCTGAGAGTCTCGGCAGGCAGGAATAAGTTTAGTATACCCAGTAAGGCCTATCTTTTCACCCTACTGATTCTGGGTGATTAAGGATCAGGGGCCAGCTGATCAACTTTTCTACTCCAGTGTCCACTTGTCTAGATAGTCGAGAACTGTAGGAGAGCGAACCCTGTTTGGCTGACCCCATAGCTCATCAGTGTCATTTCAGGTTGATGAGTCTGCTCACACTGATGGCTGTTCTCCTCAGTGGGGCACAGCTCGCTACCCTCAGGAGCCCCGTGTGCTTGACTGCAGTAGGCATCTTTTCGCTGGAATGTCATTGTTCTTCCTGTGTGCCTTTATTTCCACTACCACGTAGAGAATTGTGACGATGACCTTAAATAGATGGTAACCATCTCACTCCCTTTTGGGATGGCTCTACCAAGTATATCTAGTTTCATTTCTGGAAACCTTAACTGTCAGAAGTGGCTTTCTTACATTTGGTCATGATAAGCAGGAAGCTCCTTCCTAACTGAAGTGTCCTCAGAGACTCTGAGAATGGCCTTGATCACTGGTTGATGCTGCAACTGCACCTTTTGCTCTTTGTTACTTCGGCTCCTGTTCATGTTGACCTTACCATTGTGTGCCACGGAGTCCCCATCTTCCATTGTTCTTCATTGTGTCACTAGCACCTTCCCTATATGCATTTCTGGTTTCTTTAATCAATTTTTTCTTCAAAGATTTTTTTTTTCTATTTCATTTTGTACCATAGCAGCATCATTTATTATTCCTTTTTTAAAAATTTCCTTAGAAATTAATCAGTTGACCTCGCCTCTACCCCGTAAGAGTCCTGGTGTGGCACTGTGGGCTAATGCACTAGACTGCAAGGTTGGTTTGAACCACAAAGTCAGCAGTTGAAATCTACCAGCTGCTCCTTAGAAACCCTATACAGGGTCTCTATGAGTCAGAACTGACTCAACGGCACTTAACAACAATAACTACTCTTTAAAGTCTTATGTATTTTAAAGGGTTTTACTGTGGTACTAACCTATCTATCTCTTTGTGCTGGCAGTGAGTGAAATAAATTAAAAATCAATGCCCCGAGCATATGTCCTCTGTTACCTTTTGTTAATTTTCAAAATTGAGAAATATTAAAATTCTCTTTTAAATTGCGTTCTTTTTGTAGCTTCCCATTTTTTCAGAAGATTTCCTAGGTTCCACCTCTAAATGATTTTATATCTCTCCCTGGTCACTCAATCACAGCATACAAATTAAGCAAGTATATACTAAGATCCTGACACATGCCAGGCACCTGTTCTAAGCCCTGAAGAGAGAGCAATGGACAAAAGAGACAAAACTCGCTTCCCTCGAGGAATTTACTTTCTAGCGGCATAAGGCAGACCAAACCCATAGCACAATGGATGAGTAAGTGTGGGGAGAACAGTAGAACAGGAAAAGGCAATATGGCATCCAGAATGGAGGTACTGGTTTCAATATGGTGGTAAGGGAATCGCTCATGGTACAAGGACATTGAAAGAACAAAACCTTGAAAGAAACGAGGGAGCAAGGACTGAGGATTGACCTAGAAGAGTAGACTGCCCCACAGGGTTTGCTAGGCTGTCATCTGTGTGGGACCCCCATCGCCAGTTCTTATTCCCACATAGTGACTGGGTGGGTTCAAACCTCCACCCTTTCCATTAGCAGTGCTCATGTTGAGCCACCCAGCCTCCTTGTCTGACCAGTTAAGGAACAGTAAAGAGACTCCATGACTGGAAAGGAGGGAGTAGAAATGGCTCGTCGGAGAGGTTCCCAGGGGCCAACTAGTGGGCATCCTTTCAGTCCCTGGCAAGGACTTTGGCTTTGATTTGAGATATAGAAACACTGAACAGGGACAAGCAAGTGAGTAAGTTGATCTGTCCTAGGCTGTGATGCATTATTGCCACAGATTTAAGACAAAGTAGCCTCCATTCTAGCTCTTCTTGCTATAAATACTTCAGCTCTTTCAACTAGGAGTATGAATACCTTTCAGTGACTTGAGGTTTTCTCTTCTCTCCCTTCCCCATCTCCAATCTGTTGTTTAGATGCCAAGACAGTTGTTGTCAGTGTAATATTTTTTAATAAACTTTGTCGTCAGGTAACCCAGAGTCATCACTTATTTAAGGCTGTCCACAAAAGCTCAATCCTGATTTAATGTATTTGCTACTTCAGCACTGCTTCCAAAAAGATGAGAAAATGAAGCATGAAATTTACCACATTTAGGTTAAAAGGCTACACAAATAGAAGAAAGATGAAAACTTGACATGTAAGGAGAAGAAATGAATGTAGTAGATCATCTAGTTGACTTGGTGTGAGATGTGGAGCTTCGTGGTAACAGACCTAAAAGGAGAAGAAGGGATTCCATGGTTCTCCTTACCTGACTCCTCTAGTCCACAGCGCTGGTCTCTGCCCTTCTTTCCTCGGTGCATGCTACCACGTGGAATATGTTTTCTAACATCCTTCTTCTTCATCATACATTGATTACTTTCTCAAATAAATTGGTGAAATTACATTTCAACTTCTTTCGTACAATGCTGGTTTTTGTTTGTTTAAGTTGGCATTTTTACTTTATTTGAAAGACTTGACTGCTTTTTTTAAATGTTTTAATGTGAATTATGTGTTAGTTTACATGGGCGAACATTAGCTTTACATTCATCCTATCGTGTTTTGTTTCACTGCCATGGTTGCAATCTCCTCCATGCATCATCAACCAACCAAAGGGTATACCCTGCAAGCCTGCCCCCCAGTCATCAGCACACAGCACATAGCCCCTCTCCCTCTCTGGGTCTAGAGAAGAATTAACTTCATGCCAAAACAAAATTCTCTAAGTTCACTATCACTAAGAATGATAATTATCATTGATTTCTAAATTCAAAAAAAGTTGTTCCCGTAGGTTGCCAGGTACTTATGGCAGCAGCTGTACTTTCCACCTTTGTATTCCTGGTATCACTAAACAAATAGTTCTCCAATCCATTACCTACAACTCAAGATCAGAAGACAGGGAATTTCATCGAAAGTTGCATAACAAAACTCATTCAGAGATCATGATAAAAAGTGACCAGAACTGAGGGCGAAGAATCCTCATTTATCCCGCTTGTTGTGAATATTTACATATTTTGCAACAAAGTGAATCTAGATTTAATTGTGGGTGCTCCCAAGACTCTGCTGGGTGTTAGGTAACATTTCTTATGTTTTTCTTATTATTTCTATAAAGTTTGCAAACTTGTACATTCCAAAACACATCTGGCCCCAAAGGTTACAGACGTCCAGTAGCTAATTCCTAGAATATTATAAGTACCTAGTAAATGGAACAGAAATGAAATTTGATTAATATTAGGTATTTAGAAATGGGTGGGATAACAGAGGTCCTGGGGGCACAGTGGTTAAGCACTTGGTGCTAACTGAAAAGTCAGTGGTTCAAGCCCCCCTAGTGACTCTGTGGGATAAAGACCTGGTGATCTGCACCCAAAAACATGACAGCCCCGAAAATCCTACATGGGTTCTCCTGGGAGGTCCTGTGAGGTCACTATGAGTCAAATTGACAGCACCTAACAGCAACAGGCATGGGGAACTTTTCTGCAACGGCCTTGGAACAGTGAAACTGAAAGGACTAGAAGAAATGACCCAGTCGATGTGCTTGGGTTTTCTCTAACAGAAGTAGCAACTGGCCCTCATTCCAGCTAATAAATCCAGGGAATATAAAGTATTATTCAGTTCAGTGGAATCGTACCTATTAGTGGCCTGTTGTTGTTGTTAAGTGCCATTGAGTCGGTTCCAACTCACAGCAACCCTGTGACTAGGGTTTCTAAGGTGTGGCTGGTGAGTTTGAACCGCTGACCTTGCAGTTCACAATGATCATGCGGTCCCATGCTTCAGTCCTCCAGCGTCACACCAGAACTCCATCAGTGGCCTTAGAAGGAGTTTTATTTTTTTATGTGATTTGCTTCTTTTTTATGTTGTCTCATCACTTGATATCTTGTTTTTCTTCCGCATTTTTTTAAAAGGTGTTGCATCAGCTCTTTAAATACTGGCGATTTAATTGTAAAAGCGCACATAAACAGTTTGAGAGGTGTGAGGAGAAATTCACAAGTCACACAGGGAAACAGCAACAAAGCTAGCATTCAGTCTGGAATTCGTCCACGGTGCAAAACAAATTGCACTGCCAGCAGGTCAAATGGTGTCTCCTGAAATGGAGTGAAAAATGAGTTTGATACAAGAAACATTTGTTTCATGCCAAAGATGCTGTGGGAAATATCAAGATGAATCAAATGTAGGCTTCACTCTCACAAAACCTGAGTTTAATAGGGAAAGCAAGACATGTCTATAAATAAATGAAATGCACAGCAGAACCTGCTAGCAGACCAACCAGAGGAGAGATTCGGTAGCTCAGGAGATGAGGAAAGGAGGTGGGTTTGCCCTGGGCAAGGAATGAGGAGTTGGGAATTAGATCAATAGAGAGGCTGGACTGGTGGAATACAAGGAGGAGGAGGACAGAGTCCCAGCTCTCAAGAAGTTCCATGTTTAATGGATGTGCATAAATAGATACATGATTATGAAAATGGTACATGTATATTATAATAGGTGTTATGGAAGCATGGGGTCCCTGGGTGGCAAAAATAGTTAACCCAATTGGCTAGTAACCGAAAGATTGGCTGTTCAAAACTACCCCAGAGGTACCTCAGAAGCAAAACCTGGCGATCTGCTTCAGAAGGGTCCCAGCCATGAAAGCACTCTGGTCTGTCCCATAGGGTTTCCAAGACTGTAATCTTTGTAGAAGCACACTCCCACATCTTTCTCCTGTAGAGCACTTGGTGGGTTTGAACCACTGACCTTTTGGTGAGTAGGCAAGCACTTAACTGCCATGCCACCAGGGCTCCTTCAGGAATGTGTTGTAGGCAGAGTCAATGTATGATGCCTGTTTGAACTCTCAGCAATAGAATCGTTAGAGGACAATGCATTTCTGGCTTGCCCTGGTATGGCACTGTAGGATAAGCACTGGACCTTAAGGTCAGTTTGAACTGCAAGGTTAGCAGTTCAAATTCACCAGCTGCTCCTTGGAAACCCTATACAGGGTCACTGTGAGTCGGAATGGGCTTGATGACACTTAACAACAACAGCAACAACTTGTCATTGCAGGTGACGCGCTCTCCCCTTCTGGAACAACACAGAGTGGAAAAGGTATGCAGAACAAGAGTCAGTTTAGGACGATTGCACCGAAAATTGTGCCTAAAGCCCTGCCGTCCAGAGCACTGCCATGCCATTCCCAGTCACTCTCTGAACACCTTCTTCCAGGACCCACCATCACTTCCAAGCCACTGGTCATGCCTTCCCCCAACTATGCCCTGATGCAGGTCGCCGGCCACGAGGGGACCTTTTCTCTTGTCGCTTTGCCACATGTTGCCGCAGGACAGCCAATCCAGAAACCCCGAATGGCCCTGCCTGAAAACCTTAAACTGCCGATTCCTCGGTACCAGCCCCGGAGAAACAATAGCACATCAAGAAAGAGAGCCCGCGTGAACTCGGAGAATAGCTGTAGTAAACCTCCTGCCCAAACTCAGACGCCCCCTCCCGCACCCAGCCACCCGGAACGCCCCCACAAAGCCATATCACCTGACCAAGCACTGTCGCTAGATGAAGGCCCAGTCACTGCCTGCACGGCTGCTCTGCCCAGTGGAGGGGACCTCAGAGACACTCCTGCCACCCCGAGGCCTTCCGCTCCGCAGGAGCCCTCAGCAGAGCAGACCCACCCAAGGGTCTCAGGGCCAGCAAACTTGGCAAGCAAGAAACCCTGCAGTAAGCCTTCAACTGTCCATCTTGCAAAAGCCATGACCTGTTTGTCACCAGCAGTGTTTAACAACACAGTTCAATTCATCTCTTCTGTCCCCAAAGGTAAATTGCCTATCTTACCCTACTCGAGAGTGGAGAAAACAACAGAGTTCTGCAAAAGGGAGCCAGATGCTGACGTTGCTGATTTGTCCTTACCTGGGCATGGGGCCGACTGTGAGCAAATGGCCTCCAGCCCAGAAGGCATCAGTGCAGCCACCAAAATGACTGACAAGATCCCTGCCCCACCAGTGTCCAGGCCAGCTCCCTGTGACAATCCCTTCTGTCCAGCCCCCAAGCCAGAGCTTAGCCACAAAGCAAAACTGAACAACGGTGGGGCAACCAGGAGAAGAGCAAGAAAACAAAAGTTACCAGATGAAGTGGTGGCATTTCAGGGGAAAAGGAGGAAATGCATCATTAATAAGTTTAGAGATGGTAAAGAAAGGGTAAAACATGATCCCCAAGAATCCAGAAACCAAAAGCCTGTGAAAAAATACCGTAGCATTATGCCCAAGCCTATGCTTATCATGCCAGCATTAGCTTCCCTGGCCTCTCCTGCAGCTACGCTACAGTCTCACACTCCCAGAAGCCTCGGGCAGGACACCGGGGTCAATCCCTTGCTCCCTTACAAAGCCCTCGGCTATAAGCAGAATGACAGTCCTTACACTAAGCCCGGCTTCGCCTTCAGAAATGGATGCTCTGGTACAAAGCAGCCTTGGCACATATGTCAGGTCTGTAAGCACCACTTCCAGTTCAAGCAGCACCTTCGAGACCATATGAACACGCACACTAACAGACGGCCGTACAGTTGCCGCATCTGTCGCAAGACATACGTCCGTTCTGGCAGCCTGAGCACACACATGAAGCTTCACCATGGTGAGAACCGTCCAAAGAGACTCCTGTGCTGTGAATTTTGTGCAAAAGTGTTCGGTCACGTAAGGGTCTATTTTGGCCATCTAAAGGAAGTCCACAGGGTCGTGATCAGCACCGAGCCCTCCCCCAGCGAACCACAGCCAGGAGGCACGCCAGAGACCAGAGACTCCAGTGAGCCAGTGGAGAGGTGAGAGCTGATGGGAAGGAAGGGCTGGCCAGGAAGGCTGTTTTGATTGGGAGGGGACACTAAGATTCCATATCCTTCTTGGCCATCCAGTTTGTAAAAACAGCTCCTGGATTAAAATATTTTAAGGAAGTTCCAAGCACTGTGAAGGTTGACCTCAGTTTGTTAGTTTCTGGGCAGTCGTGGGATTTTATTACTTTAACCTCTGTAAGCCGACATGTAAATAAATGCCACTTTGAGGTAGACTGGGGACAATAAGAGATTAATTTGCATATTAAGTATGATGTTATAAATTATTGTACATAGTTTCTTTTAGCTTCTTTATAAGTAATCGCCCCCAAAATCATGTCCATGTCATTTATATCTAACAGCATTTGCCCCAGAACACAGCCCAACCCATGGTAGGGGCTCCGGGTGGGTCTGTCCTATTGATCATAACAAAGTTGACCAGACCTAACAGTGACACCCTATTTTCCCCATCAGACCAGGTTAACCTAGTCTGTCTCATTACCCCTTCACAGGGCCTAGGAGCCCTAGTATGATGCTGTAGTATAAGCACTGGACTGCTAGCCACCAGGTTGCTAGTTCAAAGCCACCAGCTGCTCCTTGGAAACTCTGTACAGGGTTGCTGTGAGTCAGAACTGAGTCAACAACAGTTGACAACAACAACATGGATTATTTATCAACGGACAAGCTGAGTCATTTGAAAGCTTGGCAGTCAGAATCGTGGCAGGAAGTACACCAGGGACTTGTCCCCAGTGAGCTGGGAGCCATGTTAGCCATGTGTCCCCTGGTGCCACCTGGTGTGCACGAAGTAACCCCTGAAATCATCCTCATCAGCACCAAGAGAGTTACACATCTTCTAGCACCTTAGCTCCTCTGTCCCTCCTCATTCTTCATCGTCCAGTTATTCTAACTATGAATTGTACTTTCAGCTCAATTTTGACTGACCGTATCTTAGTCATTGGAGTCCTGGTGTGGCGCTGTGGGTTAATGCGCCAGACGGCAAAGCCGTTTGAACTGCAAGGTTGGCGGTTCAAGCTCACCAATCACTCCTTCAAAGCCCTATACAGGGTCACTTAACAACAGTCAGAGTCATTAAAAATAATGGGAGTATTCTAATCCATCCCCCTTCAAATGGAGCGCTGGTGTGCAGTGAGTTAGGCATTGGGCTGCTAACTCCAAGGTTGGCATTCAAGCCCACCAACTGCACCATGGGAGAAAGATAAGGCTCTCTGCTCCTATAGAGATGTTGAGCCCTGGAAACCTTATACAAGGTTGCTATGAACCAGAATTAATGTGATGGCAATGGATTTGGTTTGGGATTTTGGTCCCCTTTCAAATGCCTGTATTTGCCAAAAGAGCAGCCTTCCTCAAGAAACCTCACTTCTTAATTAATTTCCTTTATTAGGGTTTGATTTTGAAGAATGATGTTCAATATGCTGTAGTGCCCGAGGTCAATGAGGACCCTTCGATGTCGATTATACCTGTTACTGTCAGTAATCAAAGACTAATAAGCTCACCTGGGGGCGATGCATGAAAGAAGCACCCTTTTACTCAGTGGCCACGGGGAGCTTCAGACAGGTGTGGCCCTGCCAGGAGCAGTGGCTGGTAGCTTTCAAGGTGAGCTTTGCTCAGGGTCTTCCTCCTTTGTGGAGTTCCCAGGTGGTATAAATGGTTAAGGGGCTCAGTTGCAAATCAGAATGTTGCAAGTTCAAGTCCACCCAGATGTACCTGGGAAAGAAGGCCTTCTGAAAAATCAGCCCCTCTGACATATATGAGGCCACCAAGAGCTGCAGTCGACGTGCTGGTGATGAGTTTGATTTCTGCTGTATCTCTCATCACTGGGTGCATTTTAGATCCCTAAAGGGTAAGAGCTGAAAGGAAAAGTCCAGATTGTATGTTTCTATGAAATCTTACACAGACTACTCTTCTGGTTTTCAGGGAAAGCAAATCAAGCCTGGAAGAAGACCTCCTCCTAAACCAGGTGGACGATGTCAAGTTGCAAATCAAATGCGGCCGTTGTCAGATCACGACTCAGTCTTTTGCAGAAATAAAGTTTCATTTACTGTATGTTCATGGAGAGGAAATTCAGGGCCGACTTCAGGAAGGGGTTTTACCAGGAAGCAAAGGAGCTCGGGAAGAATTGGTTAAACAGGCTGCTCCTTCCTGGAGACAGTGTCCCGAGAGAAGAAACCTGGGGAAGCTCTGTTCCTCTGAAGGGGAAGGACCTATGCTTCCCAAATTGAAAAGGCAACTCTACCTTCATCAACACAATAACTTGCGAATACAAACCAGAAACCATGGGGCCCAACCCCAAGTGAGTGAGCCAGGAAAGGACCCCGAGGGCCCTAAGCACCAGACTCCTGACACCATTCTCTTTTGCTCCCGCTCAGGCTTCAACTGCCTCCTCTGCACACAGACCCTGGGGAAGAGGGAGGAGCTTCTCCTCCACTGGGAACAGCAGCATAACTGTGAAGACCCCTCCCGGCTCTGGGCCATCCTAAATGCACTCTCGAACCAGGGCGCCATCGAGTTTCCCCATGAAATGCAAACCTGACACAGTGGAGACTGGGGGCAGTGAAGGGCAGCCTGCTCTCGCCTCACCTTACCTGTGGTGCTTAGTTAAGAAAACAAGCAGATGAGTCTCCCCATTCAGGAACCCAAGTGATCTTGGCAGCTTTATTTTCTTATACATCATTATGTCCTCTGTGCTTCGGTTTCAGCCATGCACAGACTTACTTCAAACTCCTGTGGGCCCATTTTCCATGCCCTAGACTTCATTTAAGAATAAATGAAAAGAACCAAATTTGGAGACTGGGATGTAGAGGTTTAGAGGCTAATCTTCAAATAGTTTTCAGAGAAAAACATGGGCATGCTCTGTTCATCTGCTCCCCACATCAGCTGATTGCCCAATGGGGTACGTTTCCAGGTGGTCAAACCATTTCCGTCTCAAAGAGGCTTGAGTGTGATGGGAAAGGCTGATGTTTATTAAATTCTCTGGTTTATTTGAATATGTTGTACCGCAGTAGATTTAATAAGGTCATCTATTATAACTGAAAAGCCAAGTTTTGGGGACTTCAGTTGTTTGTTTGTTTTTTGAAAAAGAATTCTCCTACTTTCTTAAATCCACATTGCTTTGAAGATTAGCTGTTCTCAAGTCTTAAAGCTATAGTGTTTTGTATCAAAATAATCAAAATCTTTATAGTACTACAGCTAATTAGAAAAAAATATTAAATCTCTTTCTTAGAGAAAAGACATTTCCAAATAGTCTTTGGAGCCAGAAGCATACAGCCTGGAAGTGAACGAGATCCCATGCAGTTCAATCCAGATGTGTCGAGTCTCACCTGCTTCCCCTCAGAGGGGTTCGTCACCCTCTGTACCATTCACACCAGCATTCTCTTTGAACATGTGTCTCCTCAAGAGGAGACTATCAAAAGAGTGACCATTGGACATTTCCAACCATCCTGGCTGCAAAATCATTTTCTTAGAAGGGTGGAGTTTGAACATTTATCCTAATAAAATCTTGGCCTTTGGATGAAAGCATCGTATGTGTAGCCAGTCCTGTTTGCCCGAAGCACGGTCCAGGCATCATATTTTTCTGTGCTTAAGGAAGTTCTCTGTAACAAAGGAAGAACTGAATTCAAATGAATGAGCTAGTGGGTCTCAAGTCTTGCCGAGTTTGAGAAGCAAGTATCTATAGGCAAGATTTGCTGCAAGAAGTATAAAGAGGGGGAAACTCCATCTTTGGTTTCTGTAAACTTTTTGAAGTTTTATAAATTTGAAAATAAAACGGTAGAGGTAGAAACCTCAGGAACAATTTTGCTGTAGTTTACCAATCGCACTCTAGCTAGGTTAAAAAAGAATATATCCACCACTGTTTCATATTTTTAGGAATCCTGAATTAGTGATGAAACAGTCTTACCATCCAGTGTAGTTTCTAGTTTGGTTTTGGTAGATTGGTCTTGAAAACATTTAAAAATGGGATATACCAAGACTATTACTTGAATTCACACCATGAAGGTTGAATTCAGAGTATGAAATAAGTCGTGGTGTGCTCAACCCTCAGGTATCCAAAGCAGAACGTGGAGCATGACCAGAGACAGGTGTTGAGTGAACACTTACACCCAGCACACAAAGGAAGTTGGTGTCCCCAAGGTTATAGAGACACCCCCCTTCAGCCAGTGTTTCCCCGCAGAATTCTTACAATGTGAGTGAAGACAATCTCTGGGAAGAAGCAGAGTTGGGAAGGGGAGAAAACAAAAGTAGAGCCATGTTACTGACACGTTCAGTGCTCCGATGTTGTTGTTGAGTGCTATCGAGGCAGTTCCAACTCATAGCGACCCTGCATAGGGTTTCCAAGGAGAAGCTCATGGGTTGAACCACCAACCTTGAGGTTAGCAGTCCAGTGCTTATCTACAGCGCCACATCAGGACTCCTGATAATAGTGCCCAGGTTGAGAAACCCTGCTCTGTCGTTGTTAAGTGCCATCAACTTACAGCAACCCTATATAGGGTTTCTGAAGAGCAACTGGTGGATTTGAACCAGTGACCTTGCAGTTAGCAGGCCAGTGCTTAGCCTACCGTGCTACACCAGTGCTGTAGGTAGACCTGTTCTAGTGTATCTTTCAGAGCAGAGGTGTAAACCGTTAATTGCTCTGCTAACTGAAAGGTTTGTGGTTCAAGCCCACCCCAAGGCACCTTGGAAGAAAGTCCTGGCAATCTACTTCTGAAAATTCAGTACTTGAAAACCCTATGTAGCCTAGTTCTAATCTGACACAGATGGGGTCACCATGAGTCAGGACTGACTGACGGCAGCTGGTATGGCTTGCTTTGGTTGTAACTTTGGTAACCAATTCCTTGGGTTTGCTCGAGGGATTGCCCATGTGGTCACCCTTCATATTATTGCCCAAAGGCAGGGAGTACAGGGAGCACGTGACGCTTATGCTTTGTGTGTCTGTGGAGAGGTCGAAACCTCTGTTCCCTCATCTGTAAAATGAAGGTAACGTTCCTCCTGCAAGGCATTGTTGTGAAGAGTTAGACACAAACAGTGCAGTGGGCTAAGCCTCGGCCTGCACACCTCCTGGTTGGTGATTGGGACCCAGCAGCCCCTCCCCAGGGGAAAGACTCAGAAGTCTGTTTCCATTAAGATTTGCAGCCTCACAAGCCCTGTGGGGCAGCTCTACTCTGTTCTGTAGGTCACTGTGAGTTGGAATCAAGTGGTTTGTCTTTGTTGTTACTTTTTTAATGAGTTGGAATCAACTTGATAAGGAAACCCAGGTTCGATTCCTGGCCCAATGCATTTTACGCACAGCCGCCACTTGTCTTGCCAGGGAGGCTTGTGTGTTGTTAGGATGCAGAACAGGTTTCTGCAGAGCTTCCTGATTAAAACAGATGAGGAAGAAAAGCCTGGTGATCTATTTGTGAAATTCAGTCCGTGGAAATCCTGTAATAACGGTCTGACCCCAGCTCATCGTGGAGATTGTCTAGGACTGGGCAGCGTTTCATCCTGTTGTGTGTGGGGTCACAGTGACTAGACAGCCAACCCAACAGTAGCTGACAACAACAACGGTACCTAGTTTGGCATTTGGGGCCATGTAGTAATTGCAAGCTGTTGCTTATTATGTTCCTGGCCAAGCCTGGATGAAGAGAGATGTGATACCAATTCTCAAGTCCAGAATTCACCGATGAAAACTGCTGAGAACAATCAAAATGGCCCTCTTTGTATTGAAAGTACATTTCAATTTTTAAATTATTAAAAGGGCATGTAGATTTCATGGAGATTTATTCATTTAAGTGTCCGATCAACATAGAAAGCAAAATCACTCAATTCTTTTGTAACCAGGCCCCACTTTGGGGCTTGTGTTCCTCAGTTCTCAACCCAACAGGACCTCAGCCTTTGCATTTCCCACACCCTGTTCTGTTGCCATAGCGCCCGCCTCACTGTCTACAGCTCAGGATTTGACTGCATGTCCACACTAGACCATAGGCTTCCTGAGGGCAGGAACTCAACTCCCAACAAAACCCAGTTGGCATCAAGTCAACTCCAGCTCATGGTGACCCCATGAGTGTCAGTGAAACTGCGCCACAGGGTTTTCAGTGGCTGATTTTTTTCAGAGATAAATCACCAGGCCTTTCTTCTGTGGTTCCACTGGATTAGACTCGAGACGCTCCCCTCTTATTTAGCAACCAAGTACATTAACTGTACCACCCAGTTTCATATTTATACCATAAATGTTTGTTGAGAAAAATGAATGCCGTAGCTAAGCACAAATAAAATCACCACTTACCATTTCATGAGTAAATCCAACTTTGTTGTTGTTGCTAAGTGCCATCGAGTCAGTTCTGACCCATAGTAACCCAGTATAGGGTTTCCGAGGAGCAGCTGGTGAGCTTGAACCGCTAACCTTATAATTCAAATCGACCTTACAGTCCAGTGCATTAACCCACAGAGCCACACCTGGACTCCAAGCTCAATTTTAGGAGCAACCTGACATGTGTCTAGAAAATCACTGAGCCAAGTTTGACCGTACGTTCAGCACATTCATTTTGCTTCTTGGAAAATTGTCCCTAAGCTAGCAAAGCTAGTTGATTGGGGTTTTTTGGGTTTTGTTTTTGATTTTTCCTTCTTTTAGCCCTAACTGATTTCTGAAAGTTACAGCATTTTGGATTCATATTGATTTATTAGCTGTCATGTTTATCCATGCCCCTTTTAGCTGCCCTCTTTCTCTGGACTACTTCCCAGTTTAGCTTTACTGTTCCTCCATTAATACAATCCTCAGATGAAAAGTTGTTTCTTCATCAACACACCATAAATAATCAACCTTGAATGTGTTCCGTTGCCTTGTCTGGCTGTCAACTCTTCCCTTTTGTAGCTGCTTAGTTCCGTTTTCTATGGCCCAATGACATGATTGCTGGCGATAAATGGTCAATTTCTTTATTGGCACACTCAGATCAGGACTGTTTTGCTCCATTCAAACTACTGACATGCTTGTTAGTTACATATTTTATATCATCTCCCATTTTGATTGAGCTCAGAAAACATGTCCTGGTAAGGGAGTCCACAGAAAAGCTTTTTAGCATCAACTTTGTACTGACTTCACTGATGTTAGACAGTCAGCCAGCTTATAATATATATTTTAATGTTAACTGCCTCTTCAGGAATGTTTATTACATGTCATATTTGGCCCTGGTCATGGGTATCCCCATAATAAAGCTGTAAGCACAGTTTTTCAGACATATTTTAAACCTGTGTTTAGTATGCAGATGTTGGTTTAGGAGTCCATCACATTTTCCACAGCTCTGAAGTGTGAAAATATTTCAATGTGTTGCCTAAAGCTTAGAAAGAAAGAAAGAAAAGCTATCCTTTGAAGGAAACCAAATGTGACAACTGAAAACGAAGTAAAGATTACTTGTTCTAATTTTGATTTGAGGCTAAACAGGCTTGTTATTTTAAATGATATCTGCTCCAATTCTCAGCCAGTTTCCCCCATCCTCTGGTTTGCTTAGCAGTAAAGAATTTGAAAATGGGACTACAATACTTAGCCTCTTTTAGCATGTT